CTGACCCTCCTCCTCAGCACAGGGAGAAAGGTCAGGGGACCCACGACCCCACACTCTCCCCTGGCATAACCGAGCTAGCCCAGCCGCCCTGGCCCCAGTGCCTGACCGCACCCTGTCTGCCTCTCCCTCCCATGTGCACTGGGGCCTGTCTGTGCCAGGCTGTATGCAGGGGGCGGGCATAGAGGAGCATGGAGGGGCTGGAGTTCAGTCCCAGCCCCAGTGGTTCTTTGTGAGGTAGCCCAGCCTGCTTGTCCCGCACCTGCCCCCCAAGCCTGGCACAAGATGTACCTCCTAGATCCTCTCCAGCTCTTGTTCATCTGATTCCAGCTCTGTAGCTTCAGAGAAACTGCCCCCAGTCCCTGCTCCCTTGCTGTGTGCTCCCCATAGGCTTCCTTCTTGGCCAGGTTGGGGAATGGAAACACATGGATAACACCCAGTTCCTTCCCAGGGCCACCAGGCCCCTCAAAACACACACACACCGATCCATCCAGTTTGGGGATGACCATGTGGTTTGGGGAATGCTAGAGGCCCCCCCACCCCATGGAAAGAAGAACATTCTCAGCAGTGGGCAGGGGCACGGGAGAGTGCCTGGAAGTGAACCTGATGGAGCCCAAGGGGTCCTGTCCTGCTGCAGGGGGGCCTCAGGCTCCCAGCTGTGTTCTGTCTTGTCTGGGCCCCTCCCCCTGTGGCTACTGTTGCAGGAAGCGGCCGCCTGGGCAGCAGTCCCCAGGCTGGAAGGAGTGAGGGTGGTGGCTGGCAGGGGCTGCAACCAGGAATGTGTGTCCAGGAATGTGGCTGCTCTGCCCGCCTGGGGAAGGGGGGCAGGACCAGTAGCGGTTGGAGGGTGGTCTTCGGCTGCCTGCAGGGTAGGACACAGATGCTTTTACCTCCCTATGGAATAGATGAGATGGGGTCTTCCCCCAAACCCCTGACTTGTAGCTGCCCACTTCTGCCTAAGGCCCTTGCCAGGGGAGGGAGCCCACGGGCGATGAGGTCATCCCCGTCTGTGGCTGCCCAGAGTCCTGGCCAAGGAATCCATCTAGGGGGGAGCTCTGGGGTTGGCACCACTTCAGTGGAAAATGTGAAGGTGCAGCTCTGGCGCCTCCAAGGGCGGGGTGGGGGGCAGTGCCGGCCGCCATGCCACGTCAGGCCCCAGGGCCAAGGAAAGGGCACGTGTTGGGGTCTGACTGTCCTCGGGGTGCTCGAGGCTCATGCTGATACTTTCGTCCTTTACCTTCCTCATCTGTGCCTCCTGGGTTGCCTGAAGTGGGGATGGGCCTAGTAGGGTCAAGGGCTGATATGGTGGCCCATGGCTGCAGGACATCCGAAACACAGTGGGCAATGTGCCTCTGGAGTGGTACGATGATTTCCCCCACGTGGGCTATGACCTGGATGGCAGGCGCATCTATAAACCCCTGCGGACCCGGGATGAACTGGACCAGTTCCTGGACAAGATGGATGATCCTGACTACTGGTGAGAGGCTACTGTGCTGGGGTGAGCTTGAGAGGGTGAGGCCAGTGGGACTAGAGCCTGGTCTGACTGGCGGGTGGGCCCCCAGGCGCACTGTGCAGGACCGGATGACAGGGCGTGACCTGAGGCTGACTGATGAGCAGGTGGCCCTGGTGCGGCGGCTGCAACGGGGCCAGTTTGGAGATGCAAGCTTTGACCCATATGAGGTAGGTAGTAGTGGCTGGCCTGGGGGTCTGGAGGTAGCAGCAGGGCCTTGCTGTCTAGCCCACATGCTCATGCCTGTCCCTCCAGCCAGCTGTGGACTTCTTCAGTGGGGACATCATGATCCACCCAGTGACCAACCGCCCAGCCGACAAGCGCAGCTTCATCCCATCCTTGGTGGAGAAGGAGAAGGTAGGAGCAGCCCTGTCTCCCAGGGCACGGGTTCTGTGCTGCCCGCCCTGACCTGGGCTGTCTGTACAGGTCTCTCGCATGGTACACGCCATCAAGATGGGCTGGATCCAGCCTCGCCGGCCCCGAGACTCCACCCCTAGCTTCTATGACCTGTGGGCCCAGGAGGACCCCAATGCTGTGCTGGGGCGCCACAAGATGCATGTACCTGCACCCAAGCTGGCCCTACCTGGCCATGCCGAGTCATACAATCCACCTCCTGAATATCTACTCAGTGAGGAAGAGGTAGGCCTGTGCTGGGGCTGAGGTCTGGGCCCTAGCCCGTGTGTTCCTGGCTCACCCACAACTCTCCACTTTTATAGCGTTTAGTGTGGGAGCAGCAGGAGCCCAGCGAGAGGAAACTCAGCTTTTTGCCGCAGAAGTTCCCGAGCTTACGGGCTGTGCCTGCCTACAGCCGCTTCATCCAGGAGCGTTTTGAGCGCTGCCTCGATCTGTACCTGTGCCCACGACAGCGCAAGATGAGGGTATGTGAGGGTGGCACGCCTGGGGGGTGTGAGGGGCAAACAAGGATGACTAGGTGCTCTCCTGCCCCAGGTGAATGTGGACCCTGAAGACCTCATTCCCAAACTGCCTCGGCCAAGGGACCTGCAGCCCTTCCCCACATGCCAAGCGCTGGTAAGTGGTTACTGGGAAGGGGGACATGTACTCCATGTCTGTCTCCTCACTGCTACCTCCTCCGCAGGTCTACAGGGGCCACAGTGACCTTGTCCGCTGCCTCACTGTGTCCCCGGAGGGCCAGTGGCTGGCTTCAGGTGGGCCTGAGCTAGGGTAGCCCTGAGCTGGGGGACTGGGTGGGAGGGCCAGGCGCTGAGAGCCCTCTCTGTTGTATCCAGGCTCTGATGATGGCTCAGTGCGGCTCTGGGAGGTGGCCACCGCCCGCTGTTTAAACACGGTGCCTGTGGGTGACGTGGTGAGGAGTGTGGCCTGGAACCCCAACCCCACCATCTGCCTGGTGGCTGTAGCTGTGTAAGTGGGGCCTGGGGTGTAAGGACACAAGGGGTGGCATGGTGCTGAGGGGCTAATGTCTGGCCTGACCCACAGGGAGGACTCAGTGCTGCTGCTGAACCCAACTCTGGGAGACCGGCTGGTGGCAGGCAGCACTGACCAGCTGCTGGGAGCCTACACCCCATCTGAGGAGCCTACCCTGCAGCCTGCCAGTTGGCTGGAAGCCTCAGAGGAGGAGCGTCAGAGGGGCCTACGACTGCGTATCTGCCACAGCCAGGTATGGGATGTGGGGGCTATAGGAGGGCATGTGGGGCCTGGCTCAGCCAATCATGCCAGCCTTGCTTTCCTGCAGCCAGTGACACAGGTAACCTGGCATGGGCGTGGGGATTACCTGGCCGTGGTGCTGGCCACCCAGGGCCACACTCAGGTGCTGATTCACCAGCTGAGTCGGCGCCGCAGCCAGAGTCCATTCCGCCGCAGCCATGGACTGGTGCAGCGTGTGGCCTTCCACCCTGCCCGGCCCTTCCTGCTTGTGGCCTCCCAGCGCAGTGTCCGCCTCTACCACCTGCTTCGCCAGGAGCTCACCAAGAAGCTGATGCCCAACTGCAAGTGGGTGTCCAGCCTGGCAGTGCACCCTGCAGGTGAGGATGTCAGGGGACGGCACACCCTGCATGGGTGGGGGTAGTGTACCCTAAGGTGTGGTGGGTTGCCCCCATCACTGCCTTTGGCTTCCTAGGTGACAACATCATCTGTGGGAGCTACGACAGCAAGCTGGTATGGTTTGACCTGGATCTTTCCACCAAGCCATACAAGGTGCTGAGGTGAGGAGAGGTAGGGGTGTGGATGCAGCTGGCTGGGCCCCTCCCTCCAGCCCTGAGCGTGCCTTCAGTCCAGCCCCCCCATCTCCAGGCACCACAAGAAGGCCCTGAGGGCTGTGGCCTTCCACCCACGATACCCACTCTTCGCTTCTGGTTCAGATGATGGCAGCATCATAGTCTGCCACGGCATGGTATACAAGTGAGTGCCGACCCCTGACTGGCCCCTCCCCAAGGGACCTGTCCAGCTGTGCCCTGAGCTGTCCTTCTCTCCACAGCGACCTTCTGCAGAACCCACTGCTGGTGCCCGTCAAAGTGTTGAAGGGACACACGCTGACCCGAGACCTGGGTGTGCTGGATGTCATCTTCCATCCGACCCAGCCATGGGTCTTCTCCTCAGGGGCAGATGGGACCATCCGCCTCTTCTCATAGCCACACTGGTCTGCCCTGCCTCTCAGCAGTGCTGTTCGGGGTTGGGGGTCAGGGCGCATGTGCTCAGAATCTTCAATAGAACTTTTTCGCCCTGCTGCTTGGCACTCCCACCTTCTTGATTTGGGGTTCCTGACAAGCTAGGCCTTCACCCCACTAATTTTCTGAAACTGGTTGGGGGAGGGGCATGGCACTCTGGGCCAGAACACCTCTAGCCTGTCCTAGGAGAGGCTGTGTCACTCTATCCCACCATCACTGAGAGCAGATGGCTTTATTGGGCACATATATTCTCCATCCTGTCTGGCCTTCAGCACCTCCTTCACTGAAGGCTCAGGTTTGATCTCCAACAGTCCCTGACCCAGGTCCAGGCAGGCTTTCTCAGAGGCCCTATCTGAGCAGGCACGAATCTAGCTGGGTATTGCTTGCAGGAGGTGCTGGCTGGAGCCTCAGGCAAACTTCACCAGGCGACCCAGGGCCTCTGCAGCCCTGGTGCGCACCATGGGGGCTGGGTCCTTGAGCAGGAGCTGGAGTGCTGTGGATGGAGAAGGAGGCTGCCTGGGGGCCTCTGAAGACTTCCATCGCCCCCCTTCCCAGCCACCATGCCTGGGGGCTGACCTCGGCAGGCCCCAAGTCTGCGCGTGGGCCATACTCTCTCCTGACAGACAGGCCTCTGCTGGGAGGGCTTAGGAGCCAACGGAAAGATAGTTTTTCCTTTTTTAGTGTTTTTTAAGCTCTTTTGGAACAGTTAAGAAGTTTCCGTGAATTACTAGAGACGATGAGGTCACCAGTGACAGGGAAAAAATCCTGAAATCCAGGAAAATCACTTAGTCCCCGCGGGTACCCACAGGGTCAGCGGGGCCCCAGCAGAACCTGCAAGTTTGGGACCTGTGGTGGGGAGGGAAGCTCACCCAAGATGAGCTGGTCCAAGTCCACCTGCGGCCGGTGCTCAGGCTCTGCATGCAGCACCAGGAACCCTGGAAGAGGGGAAGATGTGGGGGGCGAGGATTGGGCACTGGGGGGAGGTGTCAGGCAAGGGTGGGCATGCAGAGAGGGCAGTGCTCACCTGTGAACATGGGGGCAGCGGCACGGACGTCTTCCCAGCTGCTCTTGAAGTAGAACAAGTTGGTGCTCACCAGACGACCCAGCAGGTCTGGGAAGTGGTATGTCTGTGAGGAGACCTCAGTCAATCCGGCCCTGCCTGGCTGCACCGCCCACCCTGTGCCAACTACCCCTTACCAGGTGCTTGCAGGTGGTATTGAGGAACTCCCCAAAGTGTAGGCCCCGACCCTCCTGCAAGTGCTTCTGGAAAGTGGTCGACAGTTCCTCACACTCCAGGTTTGGGCCGCACATGCGCAGGGCGAACCTGCAGGCCTGAGGGGCAGGATGCTGAGGCACTGAATCCGGCTGAGGCTGCCCACACCCAGCCCCACTGGCTACTCACACTGGCCACAGGGGCCTGAGGGTCCTGCAGGTGCAGCAGCAAGGGCACCAGCCCGCCAATGACCTGCTCCAGGAAGACGTCCTCGCAGGCTCCATGGCATGCCTTGTTAAGGTGCCCAAAGAGGTGGATGGATGCTGCCCGGAACTCCATCTTCTCCTGGGGGGCAGTGTGGCAAGCATCACCTCACAGGCATAACCTTCCTGTGGGCTTGGCCATCCATGCTAGGGCCCCTCCCTGGGCTGTACTCCTTGCCCCATGCCATAGATGATGCCCCTGCCTGACACAGGCCAGGAGGGGCTGGGAACCTGGGAATAATGACAGGTTGACGAGAAAAGACCCCTGACGACAGGTGTAGGGGAGTGTAGGAGGAGTGCCAGGCCCAGCAAAGCAGTGTGTCCCTTGTAGGCTTAGATCTGTACTCCAAGGATCTATTTGGCAGCAATAGGGAGAGTGAACTGAGCAAAGTGGGGAGAGGCTTAAGGCTCTGAGGGGAAGAGGCAGGAATGGGCCCTGGGCTTGGCTCGGGGCGAAGAGTATTAGGGCCCTCCCCTTCCCTGGCCCAGCCTACGCTGTCGAAGAAGGGCCGGATGCGGATGGCGACGTGCAGCAACACTGAGCGTAGGTCCCAGGGCTCCACCAGGTGCAGCAGCCGTGCAAGGCCTGTCATGGCCTCCAAGGCCACTAAGCTCTGTGGGTCATCCCCGTCGTCCAGCCCGTTGATCATGGCTGTCAGGAGCTGTGGGCCACGTGCCCGCACCTGGGGATCCCCTACACTCAGCCTGGGTCCTGGAGTCACAGCCTGCTACCCTGCAGGCCCATCCCTTCCCAGAGCTGTGTCCACGGGGCTGGTTCCATGCATGCCCCCACTGCCCACAGCCATGCAGCCTGGGTCCCAGAGGGACTGGCAGCCAGCCTACCTTGTCAGGGGATCCAGAGGCCAAGTTGGCCAGGCCACGGAGCACCAGCCGCCGCACGCTGGCACATTTATCCTTCTGCCGGGCTGCCAGGTTGTCCATCAGTGACTCCAGGAGCATCAGGTCATTGACCACATTGTTGTTGAGCAACTGAAGGCAGAGGTGCTGTGACTGACCCCTAGGGGCTCCCCCGACCCTGACCAGCCCAGGCCCAAGACACCAAAGAATGTCCCTGCATTGGGTACAGCAGATATGAGGCACCTAGTGCATGGCTGAAGGCCTGCCTCCTCCTCGGATCTTTGGCAATGCCCCCCATTTCTGTTGACTCCCTACTGCATACCTTGGGTAAGTTCTCAGCATCAGTGGCTATGAGGGCCAAAACAACTGCCATCAAGGGAGCAGGGGAGGGAGGGCCCTGGCTGTTGGACTGCCCTCACCCAGGGCCTGGCCCAGCTGTAGACCTGGAGCTTCTGTCTAGTGTAGGCTGGGCACAGTGATGGTGTTATTACCAGGTGGGACTGAGCGAGGTTGGGTAGGGGAGAGAGAGCTCCCTTTCACCCTACTGGCCCCTTTTAGTGGGCAGATAAGGGTACCTTCTGTCAGTCCACAGCAGGAGGCCCACCCTCACACCCAGCTTCTCTCCCCATAAGACTCCTACCTCAGCCAGGAAGGCTGTGCAGGTAACCCTCTGGATCTCGTAAGCACTGCTGTGTGCACATACCAGAGCCTTCATCACCTGGGGGAGCCGGGGACCCACACACTGGGCCATGGCCCTGGGGGAGGAGGCAACCGAGAGGTGCAGGGGCTGGAGGTGCCCACCCTGGATGCTGCACTGAACTGCTTCCCTCCCAGACACACCACACACCCCTCTGAGCCCACCTCTTAGGACCTCTCCCCAGTCTCTGCTGGGTGAGAGCCCAGGACACCATCTGACATGCAAGGCTGACCCTGTCCCCTGTGCCCACACTGCTACACAGGCTGCTCCTTACTCTGGTCCCATCGGCTCCTGTGTGACACTGGGGCCCCCACCTGACCTGTTGAATTCTGTGCTTCCTGTGGGTCCAAGGCCCCCAGAGGTCCCTGAACAGGACCCCAGCTGGAACTCGGCCAACTGCAAGGCTGTGCTGTGCTGGGGCCGCTCACCTGGCCAGCCGGGTGGTCCCCTCCTCGTGCCCTGCCGAGGCCCTGAGCAGCTCCCAGCCTCCCTCTAGCTCCATGCACTGCACCACATCCTCACTGCCACCTCGAAGCAGCACGACCCGCAGAGCGTCCACTGCAGAGCTGTGGGATTATGAAGGGGCTCAGTCAGCAGGGGGCATACCTGCCGTGGGTGGGGTGCTGAGCTGTGCACACTCCTCCCACCTGAGCCAGAGGCCCTGGTAAGCCACTTGCCAGTCTGCATGCTTCATGCATGTCCACACATAGTGCCCATCCCATCCTCTGGGAAGCAGGTTTTGGACAATCTCCCAAGAGGCCCTGCGTGCCCCTCAGGGTTGATGAGGGGCCTGAGGCAAAGACCCAGCCTGGGTCGAGCTAGTGAGGTCAGTTTGTGGCCACGTAGCCACCAGCCTCAGAGTTGGGCACAGACAAAGCCTCTGGCTGCACCAGCCTTTCCTTCTAGATACCCAGGACTACAGTCATAACAAGGATGCACCATGGCCCCAGGATATCAGCAGAAGCCCACATCATACTGCAGGCTCTTTCCAACGTTCTACCTACCAGTAGGCCTGCAGCCAACTTACACACTGCTAGTCCCCAGGGGCCATGCCATAGCCCCCCACCCCTGGGCCTGTTCTTGCCTCTGAGTCATCTTGGAGTACTCACAGCTGTACAATCATATCTATCCCAGGAGACCCCAGGGCCTGCCAAAAGGGATGGCAGGCCAGGTCCCTGACCAATCCTACATGTTGACAAGGCTGGCAGGTGACTAAGCAAGAGAACCTAGCTGAAGCCTGCAGGCCCACCTGGCAGGGCCTTCTGTAGCTCTCCTGCCCACTGGCTGCCTCACACATCAGGCCCTACACTGACCTGTGGACGTCTGTGTCCACAAGGCATAATCTCATGAGCTCCTGGCCCACAGGAGGACACCACAGGCAGCGTGCTGCCCCGCCATGAGGCAACATCTGTGACTGCGGTAATAGCATCCACTGTACTGCCAGGCATTGGCCCACAGGTCCTCTTTCCAAGATGGGCTCTGTTGACTGCGAGTGGCTATAGCTGTACTGCCTAGCTGTGGCATGTTGCGATGTAGGGCAGGCCCAGGAGGAGCAAGTGGCTCCACTGAGGCTGGAACACAGGCTTTACTGGCCTATACTGTTTGGGGCCCTCATACAGATGGGGCCTAGGGAGAAGGGTGAGGTGGGCACAGGAGCATGTGTTTGGGATTCAGTGATAGGTCCCATGAGGCTTCTGGGCAGTCAGACTGGCAGGGCTGAGGGACCTCAGCCTGAGAGCTGGGCTGGAGCTGAGGAGGCCCAGGAGTCCTGACAGCCCAGGAACCAGATTCCAGCGGCCTGCTCCCAGTCCCACACTGTCTCTATGGATGTCTCTGGGTATCTGGTGCTGACCAGCAGCTGGGCCAATATCTAATGCAGCCCTTGACGAAGATCCATAGATTCCATCTTCTCTGGGGCTCCTTGCCCTTGTAGAAAGCACTAGAAGGCAGCTCTTGGTATCCTAGGAGTCCCATGGCTCCAGTCAGGGGAGGGTCTGGTCTCCAAGCCCAGAGGGCCTGCATGCCAAGGGGCTTCCAGCCCTGGATCCCTGGATAAGGGGCAGCCAACACTGACCACATGCAGACAAAGTACCACACCAGTCACTGCGGTCACTAGTCAGGTGTTCACAGTGCACTCCATGAGGATGCAGGCTGGGCCAGCCACAGGCTGAGTGAAGACTTGTGGGGCCACAGCTGATTCCAGCTGGACCCTGTGATTCAAGCCAGGGTCTGTCTCAAGTGTAGCTCTCCCACCATCTCCATATCCTGTTCTAGGTTTTGCAGATCTCTGGACCAGGGGCTGCACTCCAGCCTGCAAATGGCGCATTTAGCAATTGTGGCCGGCTACAACAAATCTAAGGGGAAGTGCAAGTTTGGCTTAAGGATAGGTTAACAATTTAGATGAGGGTTTCTCTCCCTTGTCTATGTGGTGAGGGTCTGATCCACTGGCTGATGGCCTGTCCACGAGGCTCTGCAAGAGGCCCAGCCTGAAGGGTGTGCAGCCCAGGGACACCCGGGCATGGCGTGTGAGGCCTGCAGCCCCACACCTCACAGGTAGACAGAGCTGATTCCCAGCATGCCAGGCCTGGGACGAGTGGCTATTACGTCCCCATCCACATTTTCCACTCAGTCTGCAAGGAACCAAGCAGGCCCTGGTGCCCGTCTCCACTGGAGTTTACAAGCCAGCTTGTGGCTGAGCAGTCCTGTGTGGTGGAAAGGTGAAGTGAGGCTGTCCTCCCATGCATCCTGGGCTGAGGTGCACACCCAAATCCAGACACCTGGGAGGGACAGAGTCAGAGCAGTAAAGGATGGGTAGTAGCACCCAGAGCTCCCTGTCAGGCTCATGGTCCCTGGGGGTCAAGTGGCACTGCCAGGCCTGCCCGGATTGTCAGCTTCTTCTGCTTATGCTATGGCCCCAGGAGTCTGTGTGTACCCTAAGATGCCACAATGTCAACCCAGGAATGGCCCCAGAGACTGCTAAAGCTCTGGGAATGGCAGGCCTGGCCTGGCTTCTACACTCACCGACAGCATGCGGCTCTACTTTGCCCATCCTTTGTACTCCTGCCCTAGAACCCAGAGTCCACTCAGAGACTGCCAGACTCCAAAATCCAATGACAGCCAGAGAAGAAGAAAGCCCCTGAGGGGGCCTGGAGCATATCAGCAACTCCTACTGCATTGGGCTATGAGCACAAGCCCAGGCTGCTCTGCCAGGACAGTTCCATGGTCAGACCCAGCTCACATTCAAGACTCCCCACAGCTCCACGTTCTGAAAAAAGACAACTTCCTCATCCTACCTGAGCTCCCCCACAAAGCCCCACCAGCTGCCTGAAGCCTGCACTGCCACACAGACTTGCTGACCTGCCTACACAGAGGCGAGAAGAGAGCCCAGGGAGGCCACAAACAGGAGACCTTCTTTTCAGTATGAGAAGTATGGACATGACCTGCACCCAGGCAAGGCACCAGCTCCCTGGGAGCAGACTCACCCTTGGGCTCCCACCATTTAGAAGATCTGCCACTGGCCCTTCATACCCTCTCCTCAGAGCTAGAGAGTCGGTGCTGTCCCCTCCCCACCTTACATGTGCACACACATGTATATACATGTGTGTACACACACACACACATACAAACACCTGTGCTTACAAACCAGCATTGCAGACAGGAGGAGAGAACCCAGTTACCTGCAGGGCTCCAAGTTTCTGGTGAACGGGGCTGGGCTGGTGCCCCTCCTCTCCCTGGCCTGCAGGTTCCGGGGCAGCTGGACACCCATGGTGCAGCTGACGCGCAACAGAAGTGCCACAAACAGCTGGGGATAGAGCTCATGCACTGCAGGCCCCGATGCTGGAGCAGACACGACCTCGTACAATGCACAGGTGGCCTGGGGGAGAAGCCAGCAAAGGGCCGTCCTCCTCTGGGCCACTGCAAAATCTAGGCCATGCACCCCAGGACCCAAACAAGCCCATGCCTCTCTTAGCATGCACTGTGTGCAATGGAGGTTGTGAATCCCCAGGGAAGAGTAGGAGGACTGGATAAGGTGTGCCCCTGTGCAGCTCGGCCCTTGAGGACAGGAGGCAGAGACAGAGGGGCAGTTTGGCCTTCATGGGGATGGGCCTCAGACCATCTGTTCTTAGTTCCTCAGAAGGGAGGAGGAAGAAATTCTCACAGCTGCTTTACTGCTTTACTGCGTAAAACACTGCCAAGCTGTTCCACCCCCTCTCCCCACAGGATAAAACATGAAGTGGTCTCCCTTGGGGGCCAACACCTGTGAGGCCTTTATGAGCCTGTGCTTAGAGCTCCCAGACCCCATGCAGTCACCAGGTGCCTGGGAGGTGGTGCCCAGGCTGCTTCATGGGGGTGCCTCACCCTGGAGCACAGGCACCTGGGAACAGTGTGTTGAGGTGGCTCCTGGAGTCCCCACTCACCGAGAGGGGCAGCAGTGTGGCCACACGGTCAGGAGCACTGCCCAGCAGGAAGGCCCGGCTTTCTTTGAATGGCACATCTTTGCTTATCTTCTCCAGGAGCAGCTCTAGGACCCGGGTGGCGAGGCTGGGCTCCACGGCCAGTGCCCGCCACAGTGTGCAGGTGTGGCTAGAACAGGGCAGGAGGAGGGTCACCTCAAGGCCACTGCTGGCCACAGCACCACTGACACCTGCGCCAGGTGTCCTTGCCTACCACCTACTTGGTGCCGAGGACTCAGGCTTCACAATGCTCAGTCATGCCCACCATACTCAGCTGCAGCCAAAGGGAAAATGGCCTCCTGATCTCAAATCTGAGTTCACTCCTACATCTGACTCCTGGGGGTCTGAGGGGAAAAATCTGGGCCTGTACATGGAGGATCTGAGGCAGGGATGGTAGAGGGAAAGGCCTGGGGTGCTGCTAGGAGCAAACACTAAGCTTCTTTGGAAGAAGCAGCATATGTCCCAGGCCTCAGGAGCAGCACATGGTCAAAGAGAACCTGGCACACAAGGAAATCAGGCCACAAAGGAAGGCCACTCAGATGTCACTGATGGTAGACACCCTGTGAGGCGGCTATGCTCCGTGTTCACAGACAAACTTCAAAATATCTAATGGGAACCAGAAATTCTAAAAATAGATTAGGTTGATGCATAAGTTCATAGCATTTGTTTTTGGCATGGCAGCACTTCGGTGTTGGGAATTTATCATTTGTCACTTGGAGTGACAATGTGCTTGTGAATATGCCTTGCATTTTGCAGATCTGAAGAAAGTGCAATTTGTGAGCTAAAGAAGGTGTGTCAAGTGGAAAAAATCGGACACTTCTGGCATATACTTCTGTTTGAGTTTCACAAAGAAGTAAAGACAGCAAAGGTGGCTTGAAACATTTATGCCATGTACAGAGAGAATCCCATCAGAGAAAGGATGGCAAGAAAATGGTTTTGTAGTTTCAAAGAGGGCCACTGTGACCTGAGTGATTCTCCACATTCAGGAAAATCACCTGGCTTTGATGAAGACTATTTAAATGCTTTAATCCACAATTATCCACACAATCAACCCGAGAATTGGCAAATGTGATGAACTGTGACCAATTTCTATGCAACATCTGCATTCCATGGGTAAGAAAAATGCTATGAACTTATACATCAACCCAACAGGCCAGGTGTGGTGGCTGACACCTATAATCCCAGTACTTTGAGAGACCAAGGCAGGAGGATTGCTTGAGGCCAGGAGTTTGAGACCAGCCTGGGCAACATAGTAAGACCCTATCTCTATTTTTTTTTTAAATTGTAGCCAGGTGTGGCACATGCCTGTAGTCTCAGCTACTTGGGAGGCTGAGGTGGGAATACCTTGAACCCAAGAGTTTGAGGCTGCAGTGAACTATGATCACACCACTGCACTCTAGCCTGGGTGACAGAGCAAGACCTTGTCACTAAAATATAATAAAAAAACCAGAAACAGCAAATTTAAAAGAGAACCAGGCTGGATACAGTGGCTTGTGCCTATAATCTCAGTACTTTGGGAGGCCGAGGTGAAAGGATTTTCTGAGCCCACAGGTTCAAGACCAACCTAGGCAACTTGGTGAGACCTCATCTCTATAATAAATCCAAAAATTAGCCATGCGTGGTGGCACATGCCTGTAATTCCAGCTACTTGGAAGACTAAGGCAGAAGGATCACCTGAGCCTAGCAGAGGTCAAGGCTGCAGTGGCCGTGAGCGTGCCACTGCACTACATCCTGAGTGACAGAGTAAGACTCCAACTCAAAAAAATAAAATAAAAATAAAAGAGAACCAAATAGCCCTTTCGGATATGAGACACTAATACACTCAGTGGACATATTTGGTGCTAGCCTTGTTACAATAAAAAAATAGAAACAAAATTGGAAGATAAAGAAATTACTCAGAACTCAGCACAAAGAAAGAACAAGGTGGGAATTCAGAAAACAGAATAAGATGTGGAGGATGGAATGAAAAGGTCTAGCATACATTCAGTTGCTGTCCCAGAAGCAGAGGAAGAGAATATCTGAAATGGCTGGGAATTTATCAGAACCAATGAAAGATATTAACATACAGACTCAGGAAGCCCAGCAGCTACATAGAAGAACAAATTAAAAGAAAACTCCAGGTACCCCCTTTGGGTCCCCTCCCACCATGGGGGAGCTTTTCTGTCCTCTCAATAAATCCTGCTTAAAAAGAAAGAAAGAAATCCCCACCTGCAGAACACCAACAATGAAGAAGTAGCTTCCTTCACAAAGACAGTACTAGTTAGACTGGCATCAGTTTCTCAAGAGTAATGATGAGAACCAGAAAATGATGCATTATCTCATATGCACTGAAGAAAATACTGCCAAATTAAAATGACAAACTCTACAGAAATAATATTCATGAGGAACGGCCAAATAAAGACATTCTCCAGTAAACAAAAGTGGAAAGTTAATCATTAACCAATCCTCATCGAAGAAATTCTGGAAGACATACTTCAGGTAGCAGGGAAGTGAAGAGGGCTGAGATGCAAGATGAGCAACGAACTTGGCAATAAATGCAGACAAATGCACACACCCACCAGAACACAAGCCTAGCCATCCCGGGCAGGTGTTCAGCCTCATAAGAGAGCCAAGCCAACCGACCCAGGACTGGGTCAGCAAACTTCTTCTGAAAGGGCCAGACAGTAAGTCTAGGCTCTGTGGACCATGTGGTCTTTGTTGCAACTGGTCAAATCTGCCCCTGTAGTGGGAAAGTAGCCATAGACAATGTAGAAGTGAGTGGACGTGGATGTTCCAACAAGATTTTACTTATGGACACTAAAATTTGAATTTCATTTCATTTTCACATGTCATGAAATATTATTCTTTTCGTCTTTTTTCCAACCATTTGTAAATGTGGAATCCATTCTTAGCTCACAGGGTGTACAAAAACAGGTGGCAAGCCAGATATGGCCTACGGCTGCTGTTTGCTAACCCCTGGCCTACAGCAGTTCCACTCCTATATGTCTGAGAGAGAAATGAGTGCCCTATCCACCAAATGACACCTACAGGAATGCAAGTAGGCAAAGCATTGTCATTTCTAAGAGTCTCAAACCAGAAACAACTCAAATGTCCACCTGGAAATAAATAAATCATGTAGTATACACGGCCACACTACACAGCAATGAAAAAGAAAGAACACAATGTGTCTCAAACACTGCATGCCATGTAAAGAAGCCAGGCGAGAATTCGGATGATCCATGTACACAAAATGCGTGATCAGGCAAAACTATCCTCGATGACAGCAGTCAGGCAGCAGTGACCTTTCAGGGGACTGAGGGGGACACGGGAGCCTACTGGAAACTGGACACCTCCTCCCCTCGATCTGGGAAGTCCATGTAGGGCCTGGTGATGACATGCATACCCTCTGTGTAGGTTGTACCTTTACAGAAGATGAAATAGAGCAAGTAAAGAGCAAACAGAGTGGCAAATATGTGGGAAACTTAACTAAATGTTGGCTGCATCAAAGAGTAACAGTAATGATGGATGCAGACACCCAACATCCCCGCCAGACCCAAACTTCAGATGCAGCTCTATATAAATTAAGAGGTCTCACGGGGTTGTGTTGGACTCTCTCTGACACATGTAGTCATATTTAGGGCAAACACTACAAAAAAAGAGGCAGAGTGCAGAATTTCCAAACTGAGTAGAAAAAAATGAAGTGGTAAGACAAAGAAAAAAGACGAGAAAGAAGATTTTTAAAAAACAACAATAGAACAGATGAGGGGAATAAAAGAAGGCAAAAAATAAGACAATGAATTTAAACCCACTGTATCAGTACCAAAATGTAGCTATTTACTAATTAAAGGGAACATATCTAAAACACAAAGACACAGAAAAGTCAACGGCATCAGGACAGAGCAGGACCAGACAAATGTGCCTCATTGTAAAAGGCACCACTGCTGAGGAAGAGCATTTTCTGATGCCAACAGATACCCCTCGCTAGGAGGAACAGGCATTTTAACATGCAATTAATAGCACAGCATCAAAGCATTTTAACATGCAACTAATAGCACAGACAAAAGCTGACAGGAGTGAAGGGCGAGACACAACAAAAAACTGCATTATCAAGGCAGCTGTAGCACCTTGGTCAGCACTGGGGTCTCTAGGAGGTCACAGGCAGCTGGTGCCCTGGGCCAGCCTCTGTCTACAACTAGGACGGCAAAGAAAGGCAGGGCCAGCAGGGCCATGCTCCAGAGGCCTCGGTGAAGAAGGGTGACCCCAGTGGCGTAGCAGATGGGAGGACAAGCCCTGCCTTTTGGGAGCTGGAAGGTGTGAATTTGGGAGGACACACTGATGTATGGTAAAAATGGGGGTAGTTTCTGGGTGCCTGGAGGGGGCTCAGAGCAGGCATGATCCTGAGGGTCTGCTCACAGGTGATGGTGGATGCTCTGCAGGGAACAAGCCCGGGGAAAACTGGAGTGGAGACACAGAGTGAGGGGTCAGCCTCCAGCATCTGCTAAAACCTGGGGCCAACAAGGAACTAGTCAGTCATCTTTGGGGCCTCAGAGGAGGAGGACAGAGATAGTGACCCCTCTGTGGGGTGCTTTGCAGAGCCCAGCCCAGCCAGCACAAGGAGGGCCTCCGTGGGGATCTGAGACACTTGGAGAGGAACGGCCCCCACAGGTGCCTAAGAGGCTGGGCCGGTCTCTGTGTGACTGTCTGTCTGTAGGGCCCAGAGCCATGGGGATGTGCAGAGGCAAGTAGAGAGTTCAGGGGTAGCATCACTGCAGCAGGAGGGACTCAGGAGCCTGGGGTCTGGGCCAAGTTGGGTACCTGTCGAAGGGCAGGGGGCTGCCCAGGAGGCTGGACACCACAGCTGCACAGTGCTGGGATGCCAGGAGGTATATGCTGTGTTGGGCAGCTGGCAGGACGTGCTCCCCCTGGGTCTCCTGCAGCTTGGAACGTAGCACACTCACAATCTCAGGCACCTGTGGATGGACAGGGAGTGGCAGTCAGGTCACGTGTGGGAGCAACCCTGGGCACACACCCCTACCAGACCTGAGGGGATGGGGCCATACAGAAGTCACTTGTGAGATTTAGAGTTCCTCACTGCTGGTTGCAGCCTGAGGGAGTGGACAAGAAGCCAAAGAATCAGAACAAGGACCTGGATCCCACTTGGAAAGCAGCCAGTGCCCCTGGATAGTGGAGGAGGTCCACGGGCACATATGGGCTGAGGCTGATATGGAGCGTGGTGAGGAGAGCTGCTAGGGTGAGTATGGAGCCAAAAGAATCCGACAGACCCTCACACCCCACAGCACACCTGTTTGGTCCAAGTCCAAGGGCGCCCTGGGCAGAAAGACCCAGGCTCTGGCTGCTGGAGGCAGGACTCTCATGTGCTACTGATTGCCCTGCATGGGAAGTTGGGCTGGGGATCAGGGAGAACAGAGAAAGGGGAACAGATTCCCATAGTGAGGCTGGAGCTGGGCCTGAGAGAGGGAGGGATGGGACCTGGGGGTGGTGGGTTGTGAATTTACAAGTGTCCCGCTGCTCCAGAAAGCAGGTGACTGGAACATCGGGGAAGGTGGGCAGGACTCTGGCCCTGGAATCCCCAGGCCCAGCCCAGGTCCAGCAGGAGCACAGCATGTGACCCCTACTCTGGGCATGGACTCATTATGGAGGGACCCCCACCCATGGTAGCTACTGGCCTGGGATTCTCCTCTTCACCCCCATCCATGGTGAGCCCCCATTGCCAAGACCACAGAGCTGGAAAATACCATGGTCTGGGATAAAAACAGACAAAACGAGCTGTGGGGTCAGGCTTGCCTCAACCCAAGGGGATGGCTGACATTGTGGGCTTTACCCACTCTGGGGTTCTCAGGCCAGGGCTAGAGTCCCACTTCCTGGCCATGGCCCAGGGACCTGACAGAAGACCTGACAATTGGAAAGGTGAGAAGGGACTAGTTATGGCAAACAAGGAAGTTCAAAGTGCAATAGCGGGCAGGGCTAGAAGAGACTCCAACAGAGGAAACTCACAGGCCAGGTCCACGTCTGCTCATGTGGAGCCATGCATGGTGTGGGGTACACAAGGGGAGGGATGCAAGAGGCGTGGCTCAGAGTGGGTCACAAAAACACAGGACAGCTCCCTTCTGGTCACTGCTGTTCTCAAAGGAGCTGTAAACCTGCTGACACTTTCATTCAAAGACCTCACGTGCAGAAAGGTAACTACCCAACTCATGATTCGCAGCTCACTTACGCCAGCAGCTATGTTATGATGACATGTTTCTCTGCTTTTATCTCTACATTCTGCCTGCCTGCCCCTTGTCCTGGCCCAGTTGTGTCCTCCTGACAAGACAGCTGCCAAATCTATGGAAGCTGCCTGTTCATGTCACATGGTTTCCTTTGTATTCCTGGCTTTGGGAAAGTTTTGACAGGAAGGAAGTGTTGAATCTTGAGTAAAGATTTTCTGTACCAAGTCTTGCTCCTCAATCCTTTAGGGTGGTGACCTTCACAGACAGGCTTGCTGCAAAACCAGGGCTGGGGTCTTGGCATGGTGGACCTGACTGTGATGTGATGTCCTCTGAGCCACGGCAGGGCTGACCCCGCCTCTCCATCCTCCTGAGTGATGTGTGGGCCCAGGGCTTCTCGGCACGGGGTAAGCAATGTCTCTGAAGATGTGTAGGCTTGGGTGACTGCCAGTGGATGCCAGGAGCAACTACTACAACCACCTTAAAAGCTATGGGTCCAGTGGACTTTCCCAGCTCCCTTGTATTAATGTTGGTATTTTTATATTTTCCAGAAACCTACTGATTTCAGGGTAGCTTTTCAAGTGTTTTTTGGAACACAGTTGCTCATGGATATACTTTGTTATTTTTCGGCTCTCTTAAGTGCATATTATTTCCCCTCTTTCAGTTTGTATTTTGCTTTCATGGACATTGATTCTTCCTATGACTTGTCTTATCAGAGACAAGTTTCTTTTTGATTGCTTCAATGGGTTTATTTATTTTATCTAATATTTTCTTCACTAATACATATTTATTTTTATAGAACCTATTGGTGTGTATAAGCACTTGAATCTCTACTTTTCATGAACTTTGGAAACAGTGTCTGGGTGCCCTAGGTGTGGAGGGTGGGTTTCCACACAATTTCTTTCTTTTTTTTTTAAGTCAGATTCTCATTCTGTTGCCCAGGCTGGAGGGCAGTAACATCCTCACCCCACTGCAGCCTCGTCCTACTGGGCTCAAGATCCTTCTGCCTCAGCCTTCTAAGTAGTTGGAACTACAGGCGCGCGTCACCATGCCTGGCTAATTTTCCTTGATTTTTTGTAGAGATGAGGTCTTGTCAAGTTGCCTGAGCTGGTCTTGACCCATGGGTTCAGGCAGTCCTCTCACCTCGGTCTCCCAAAATGCTCAGATTATAGGTGTGAGCCACTGCACCCAGCTCCACATTAATTTCTTGACTTAGAATTCCTGAGTGTCACCTCTCACACTCCAGGTCTGAGCAGGCTCTGCTTCCAAAGTCTATGTGGTCCCAGGACAAGGTCTGCATTCTAGCCGCTGGCTGTGTTAGTTTCAGTCCTATCCCACATCTTCCAGGCTCTTCTATCAGCCCCTGGACTGTTGCTTCTCCCTTCACAGCAGGCCGTTGCAGAGGGTCCTTTCCCTTTCTGACATGCTTGATCTGGATCATTTGTTCACAGTAGCTTTGCTGAGATGTAATCTTGGCACCTTACAGTATACCCATCGTGAGTGTATAGTTCCATGATTTTGGTACATTCACAGACTCGTGCAACTGACACCATGGTCAATTTTAGAATATTTCCATCTCCTCAAAAAGAAACCCCATCTCCACTAGCAGTTGTTCTCCAGCCCTTGGTTACCTTACTTTACTTTCTGTCTCTGGGGATTTGCCTATTCTGAACATTTCATATAAATGGGATCATATAACTGTGGCTTTTTGTATCTCTTTTTTTCCCATTGAACATGTCTTCATGCTCCAATGTGGATGAATCTTGAAAACATATTCCTTTATTGGCTAAATAATATTCTGTTATATGAATAGACCACATTTTCTTAATTTATTCACAACTGATGGACATTTGGGCTGTTCCTACTTTCCAGATGTTATGAATAATGCTGCTATGAATGTCTGTATACAAGTTATTGTGTGAACACATTTTCAGTTCTTTCAGGCATATGCCTAGGAGTGAAATTGCTAGGTCATGTGGTAACTCCGTGTTTAGCTTTCTGAGGAACTTTCAGACTGTTTCCCCAGTGGCAGTTCCATTTTCCATTCCTACCTATCTGTTTTCAATGGAATTTCTTCCGTCCTGTTGTTTTCTTGGCCTCCCCTGCACATCCTCTTTAGCCCATGGAAGACCCTTCTCCTCCATCTGACACACCCAGTGTCAGAAGACTGCTGTTGTTCTCCCATCTTGCCCTCTTACTCTACTTCATGGTCATCTTGTGTTGGGGGAGGTCACATGTCACCTGCTATCAGAGGAATTCAAAGTTCAACAGCATCCTCTTGTCTCAAATAGGTCTCCCTGCCCGGGTCTCTCAGGGAAGAAAATGGAGACTTGTCAAGTTCCAGTGGGTACATGATACTAGTGTACCAAGTTACAGGTGTGGCTGAGATGCTATGTTACGGGCCTGCACAAAATCTCAGCCTGGGATCAGCAATGCCACTTCCCAGGCTGGGCTGTGATGAGTGTTGTGTGTGTATACCTGAGCCAAAAACATCTGCTGTGCAAAATGTAGCAGAACCCAGTGATCAGTCACTATGTTGGTCCCACAGAGAGGTGCGGGGGACCCAAAACTATAAAACCCCTAGAAGGAAACACAGGGCAAAACCACCATGATCATGGGTCTGGCAGTGATTTCTTGGACACGACACTGAAAGCACAGGCAACAACAAAAAACAGATAAGTGAGACTATGTCAAACATAAAAACTTTTGTGCACCAAAGGAGGACAAATCTACAACATGAAAAGGCAACCTACAGAATGGAGAATATATATGAAAATCATGTATCTCCTAAGAGATTAATGTCCAGAATATACAAAGAAACTCCTACAACAACAAAAACATCAAATAACCTGATTATAAAATAGACTTGAATAGACATTTCTCCAAAGAAGATATTCCAATGCCCCCCCGCCCCAAAAACAACAACATATGAAAAGACACTCGATATCACTAATCACCAGACAAATGCAAATTAAAACCACAATGACATATTGCCTCACACCATTAGGATGATCACTATAAAAAAAAAAAAAGCCGGGCTCGGTGGCTCAGCCTGTAATCCCGCGCCTTTGGGAGGCTGAGGTGAGTGGATTGCCTGAGCCCGCGGGTTCGAGACCCGCCTGGGCAGCGAGACCTCATCTCTACAATAAATCAAAAAATCAGCCGGGCGTGGTAGCGCACGCCTGTAATTCTGGCTACTTGGAAGGCTGAGACGGAAGGATCGCCGAAGCCCAGCAGGCGAGGCCTGCGGTGGCCGGAAGCGGCCACTGCACTCCAGTCTGGGTGACCGAGTGAGACTCCAACTCAAAAAAAAAAATAGAAGCTGGGCACGGTGGCTCACGCCTATAATCTCAGCACTTTGGGAGGCAGAAGCAAGAGGATTGCCTGACCTCACAGGTCAAGACCAGCCTGGGCAACATGGCGAGTCTTCATCTCTACAATAAATCAAGAAAAATTAGTCAGGCATGGTGGCGCATGCCTGTAGTTCCAGCTACTTGGAAGTCTGAGGTGGAAGGATCACCTGAGCCCAGCAGGTTGAGGCTACAGTGGCTGTGAGTGTGCCACTGCACTCCTGCCTGGGTGAAACAGTAAGACTGGCTCAACCCCCTCCCCCAAAAAAACAAAATAGAAAGTAAGTGTTGGTAAGAATGTGGACAAATTGGAACCTTTATGCATTGCTGGTGGGAATATAAATGGTTATGATTTCTATGGAAAACAATATGGCAGTTTCTCAAAAAAAAAAAAAAATTAAGCATAGCAGCCTTGACAATATAGTGAGACCTCATCTCTAAAAAAAATTAAAAATTAGCCAGGCCTAATTTTGGTGGTGCATGCCTGTGGTCCCAGCTACTTGGGAGGCTGAGACTGGAGGATCACTTAAGTCCAGGAGTTCAAGGCTGTAGTGAGCTATGAGCCTGGGCAACAGGGCGAGACAACACCCAGTGGCCACCACCTTCAATCAGTTGTTCTCTTGCCATCTGCACAGAGCACTAGGGGACCTTACTGCCCTCAGACCTGACCTGGGAACCCCAATGCCTGCACATTAAACCCAAAACCTTCACATGGCGAGCCCTGCCTGTCACACTGTGCCCTTCCTTCACTCTTCTGCTTCACTTCCCTCCCAGGTCCCAATGCCAGCATCTACACCCTCAGTCTCTTCTCAGTGGTACTGGGAACTACCCCTCCAGGAGCCACACAGGGGCAGCTCCCTTGGCAAAGAGCCTTCCACTGACACACTCCTTTTTTTTCTTTTAATTCTCCAATAGAGAAATTATATCCAGAATATATAAAGCACTCTTGCAAATCATTAAGAAAAGCAGACTATCCAAAAGAAAAATGAGCAAAAGACTGGTATTCTCACAAAATAAGACATCTGAGTAGCTACTAAACATATGTCACTGATAAATGCAAATCAAACTCTATCATGAAGCCATCATACACACCCATTTGAAAAGAACAGGAAACAGCATTCAACAAGACCATGGAATGCTGGAGCCTCATATGCTCTGGTGGGGTGGGGGAAAGTGGCCACCGGACAAGGATTCATCCTTCAAGCACCAGTTGCTTTCCCAGGTGTGTCCCCAACTGAAACATGCCTTCAGGTCCAAAGGACCCAGACCCTGTGACAGCCCCAAGTGGGAACTGCCTAAGTACTGACGGAGGCACGTGGTTGAACAAAAATGACATACTCATGACTCAGAATGAGCAATGGGCAAGCACAGCAATAGCGTGGATGATCACATGTGTTAATACCAAGCAGGCCCCAGTCATCTGTAGTGGCCTGTGGGATGTTAGCTGGGTGGGGGAGACAAGAAGCTGGGGAGCTGGTGGGTTGCTCTGCTTATGGATGTCTATGCAACCTCCTAACACCTCCACTTCTCTACTTATATGCTTTGTTTCAGTACAGAGATTAAAAATTCACTCTGCAGACTGAGACCTGGGTCATTAGCCTCTCGAGGACTCGTGAGCATCCATTCTAGCAGCCAGCTGAACCACAGGAGTCTGTCACACCCAAAAGGACCTGGCCACAGGGACATGCATTTCAGCCATCACTTCACTTGTGTCTGTTATAGAGTTGGTGCCAGTGCATATTTGACAACAGCCACATGGAGGCTGTATAAGATAGCATCCAGGATACCATCTCCTGGGGGCCCAGTCCAGTGTGGAACCCTGGAGTTTCATTCCTGGGAAGCCTCCTGGGAACATGGGTGACCCTCTGCATCTGTGCCCTTGCCAGTAATGCACACAGGGAGCTCAGCTAGCGCCAACTCAATAAATAATAACACTTGTATTTTCTTTTTTCCTCCGTAATCTCTTAGCAGTTGCCTTTGCCAAATTCTAACCTCTGTATTTAGACGTAGGAAAAAGATTTGTCCATATGGCCCCGCAGGGAAAGACAGCAGAGAAATCAGGGTCAAACCTGAGGACAGCCCAGCAGGGGAGTCCAGGATAGGCCAGGGCCAGCCTCACCCAACCCTGCCCCCTGCATGCTGACTCCGCCCATGCCCCACCTGGTTTCTGTTCCAACCCACTCCAACCCGCCCTCACCTTTTCCAGGAGTGTACCACCCCTCTCTTGTAGCAGGCAGTTGATCATGACCGTGGCTGCTCGGGAACAGTTCTTGTCAGGGTCTCCCAGGCCCTCAAACATGGTTAGCAAGAAGCTGATGAGCTGGTCTGGCGGGAGGCGCTTGGCAATAATCTAGGAGAGCAGTGGAGCCAGAAGATCAAAGAGGGCAAGGGCAGTACCCCTGAATGTTACTCCTTTCAAACATCAAATCTCAGGGATTCAAACTATGGATGAGAAGTCATTTCCCCTTCTCATGCCCTTCCCTAGCCTTCTCTGCCTTGTACCTTTCATGAGCTCCAAGTGCAACTGTGGCTCTATGGGGAGCAAAGGCTCATTCCCCAGTGTCTGCCAGGGCAGACTGGAGCTTGCATGGGCTCCTGGAAGGTGACCCCTAGGCAGCTGCAGGACTGGGGTCACAGTGCCCTCCTAGGGGGCTCCTTCTGACCAGTGAGGTAGACAGGGCATGGTCTGTTGGTGAACCCGCCCTGGAGCTCTCTAGAACACAGAGATCTCAAGGGTAGATGGGTACCTTGTCCCACCTGAAGGCCCAGTCACTGAAGCCCCAAAGGACCCTCAGCTCTCCCACAGCTCAGCAACGGACACAAACCCTTTTCCTTCTCCCTTTAGCTTGATATAGACTGGCCAAAAGCTAAAGCCAATAAAGCAGCATGAAGGTTAAGGAAAAATACAAAACTATGTACAAAGAAGCCATAAAAGCATAAAAGTGATTAAATAGCCAAGAGGTCTGACCCCAAGACCACAAAGCCTCCGCTCCACATCAACTGGCCCAGCACTGGGTCTCTGTCTCCCAGCAACAGAGTTCCCACCCTAGAGAGGGCCCTGGTGAGCCCTTCCCTTCCTTCTGCCTCTGCAGGAGACAAAGCCTCTGGACCCTGAAAGACCATTCCCAGGCGCCAAATGGAAGAACAGCAATGCCCTAGCTTGGTGGCCTGCAAGAGCATACACCGAGGGAAGAGCTGCTTTCTCATTCCCTTGGAGCCCTGCTGGGTCTCAGTGGATGCCAGGTAGGCATAGGTGGGAAGAGGCAGGGTAGCTCAGGGTGGATGCAGGACCCAGAGCCAGCCTGGAGCCCAGAGAGTGCAGTAGGAGAGGGCACAGAGCCTCCCTCCAGACTGCAGTGGACAAAGCACTTTGACCAGCTGGAGCCAAAGGCAGGGCCTACCCCCGGCCCCTTGGCAAGAAAGTCAGAGCCCACAGCACCCTGCAGGTAATGCCTCCAAACCCCCTTGTGGCTTTCAGATAGACATGAGCCCAGAGCAAACACAAGTACGGCCTGCAAACCCAAGCATGGCAGAGAGTGGTCCCCGAAGAAACTCACATCTTCAGTGAGCAGGTTGGGAGGCCGACCTTGTGCACCACATTCATTCCCTGGCCTCTGCCAAGGCCTCAACATTAAGAGCACCTTTATCTTTCATGTGCACTGCCCCGCAGATGGTAGGTATGGATGATGGGGGCAACACAGATCAGGCGTGGCATCAGATAGCTAATTCTCTGAATGAAGCCTGCCCCCGCACCCAGCTCTGTTCCCTGTGCCCACTGGTCCTGGGTGGCACCTAGAGAACCTAGGAGAGGCCAGGTTATACCTCGAAAGTCCCTTTTAGCTCTAGACAGTGCCAGCCACAGATACCGTGGCAGGTACCTGGGCTATACTGTTGCAGGTGTGAAAGAGAATAGTGGGGTCAGGATTCACAAGGCCATCCTTGAGAGTGAGGAGTCGCTCTGCCACATCGTCACGGTAGTCCCGGGAGAAGCCTAGGAGGCAGGAGGAATGCATAGTTGTGTTAAAGCCCTCCCTGGTTATCCCACAGCCCAGACTCCATATCTCAATCCCTCCTGGTACCTCTGCCCGACCATAGCCCCCGCACCCCCAGCAGGGGCTCACCCTCGTAGCCCAGCTGAAGATAGAGCAGGGAGTAGACGCAGCCCACAGACTCCTGTCGGGTGGCCGGCCACAGGTCCGCACACCGTGGGGAGAAGAGGCCAATGAGGAGGCCCAGGTTGTGGAAGGGCACCAGGGCCTGGGGAAGAAGGCCAGGGGGGCTGGGCTGTGGGAATGTGGGGGGTGGACAGGTGTCACCTATGCCATCCTGACCCACCAGAGGGCTGGAGTGTGGCCAGGAGGGCAGCCAGTGTCCATGCAGCCCTGGGCCCTTCCTGCAGCCAACACAGCCCCAGCAAGTTCTTTTTTCCCCTTCCCTTTCCCAGGATGGGCTTTGTTCAGCTTACTTCTGACCACACCTCGTCTACCTGGGGCCTTAAGTGGAGGAGGAAAAAACTGTGGCAGACACTGTTCACAGCTTTGTGCAGGTAGAGGGACCTCAGGGTGAGGAACGGTCTCCCCACCCAATGGGCAGCAGGGAGACAGAATGTGATGGGGAGGAGGCACAGGGACCTGCTGACTCAGTTGATACCCTTGGGAAGTTCCCTCCCCAGAAGGCAAGCCCCTGGGGTGAGAGGAGGGGCTACCCAAGACCCCCTCTAGCTCTACCTGGTCCCAGTGCTCTCAGAGCCTTTCTACTCTCCCACCCTCTTAGCAAACAGCCTTCTTCCCACTTCCTGGCCTCAGGACATCAGTTCTCCACCTCCCTCCCCAGCACACACACCTGTCCTCCTACCTCCACCTGTTCCCTCTCAGCCCCCACATGCGAGGCCTTCCTGGGAAGCACTCCCACCCTGCCCTTGCACAGGCTTCCGGACTCAGCTGCTCCTATCAGATGGAAACCTGGCATCTACCTTGGTATGACTGAAACTCTTCATGCCCAAAGTTGCCACTGATGAAAAAGAATTACAAATCAGGAGGGAAAGGCTGGAATGTTGGATAGAAGACTGTGAGGTAACTAGCTGCTGTTCTCAGTGAGGTTAGATGTATGTCACACCACGTACCAAGGTAAACTCCAGCCAGACCAGGGTTATGTGAAACACAGACCAGGAAAGCAGATAAGTGGGAAAGCCATCTGAGTACACATGAAAGGTGAAAGCCATCAAGAAACATACCAGATTTGGCCATATATAAAAGAAAATTTTGGTGCATTTGAAAAAAAAATCTACCAAGAGAAAAAGCCTAAAATAATCCTGATAGGTGACAAAAAGATACTTGGCAAAATCTGATATCTGTTCCTGATAAAAGTCTTTATGAAAACAAACAGATCATTCTGGAACATGACAAAAAGTAAGTATTGCCAACCAAACTAAGCATCAATCTTAACAGAAAAACTCTGAAGATGAAGGGTACGTGTTGATCCCGGCTAATGGGTGGGTCCCTGAGGGCAAGGGTACCATCTAATTCAACTCTGAGTTGAACATGGGACAACTCCTGGCCCCAACAAGTTTTAGATCCATGTCTCCAGGGGACACGTGGCATGAGCTGAAGGAGCAGCCAGAGGAAGGCCAAAAAGATCACTGAGTGCTCTGGGACATGGGGGCCACATGCAGCAGCTCCCAGGCTAAGGGACACAGGAGTGGGGACAAGGCCAGGAGCAGGGTAGCCATAGCACAGGCCAGTGGCCCAGGTACTCACGCTGACGCGCAGGTGTTCCAGGAAGTACCGTAGCAGGCAGGCACTCAGGCTAAGAGCCCGTGCCCGCTCGTGGCCCCTCGGGGACTTGATCCATGGGCTCAGGTGCTGGGGAAGAGGGGGCTTCACACAGGCGCCACTCCTGTGGCAGCCCAGAAGAGCAGGAACCCATGCACTATAGGCCAGCTCAGTGTCCCTGCTAGACCACCCTTCCCAGGCTGCAGGGGACCAAGCAGGGGACCGAGTGGTTCCAACCTCAGGGCCTGCTGCAGCTCCCTGGCCCTGCCACTCTATCCTCCAATATGGTAAGGAGACACAGCCCAGGCCAGGTAGGCCCAGGGCCAGCCATATTGCGGAGGCACAGGGTAGAGCTCGTCTTGGCTAGAAGGACGTGTTCCTAGAAATAGGGTTCGGCCCCACCCCAGTCACTGCAGTGCTGAGAAGAGTGAGAAGGAGCTGCAGCATAGCCACAACCTTCCCATTCTGTCATCCCCATAGCCTCTAGACAGTGAGGAACCCGCAGGCATCCATGGGATCCCTCCATCCCCGCAATGTAGGGAGGAGAGCGCAGTCTCCAGAGGCCCTGCCAGGGTTGGGGCCTCCCCTATATGCATGTCCACCCAGGCAGGAGGGGATGCTGCCTGCCTGTCCACAAACTTCCCCCGCCCCCCAACTGCAGAGAGCACCAAACAGTCCCTGTGATGCCTCCATGGGAAGAGGTGGCCAGGAGAACCAGGTGGGGGCCAGCAGCCAGGGGGAGCTCTCCCCCCTCCACCCCCACAACAGCACACACCCTCACACCTCAACCATGACCTGCAGGCCCTGGGGGGTCATGTTCCGCTGTAGGAGGCTTGTCAGCAAATCCTCAAGGGCATGCATCGTGTCCAGATACAGCGACTGAAAGGAGAGCCAGGCCGCCCAGCCCTATCAGTGACCCTGCTGCCCATGGTAGCCTTCCCGCTGCCCTCTCAGACACAGACACAAGGCACGGGGATACCTCTTGGCAGCCACCATCTTCTCCCTCGGGCTCAGGCAGCAGGGTCATGACACTGTTTAGGCAGCCACGGATCATATTTGCCCGAACCTGTTCCTCTAGTGCTGGCTCCAAGTTGCTGAGCAGAAAGTTAAGGGCAACAACACTACAGCAGGTCCTCTCGAGGCCCAGCCATTCAGAAACTTCCAGGTCTGTGTGGACAGCCACTGCTGTGTTCAGCTGACTCCAGGCCATGGCTATACCCCATGCAGCACACATGGGCACACACACAGATACAAGGGCCCACGCACACCCACAGAGAGGCAGGAAAGGATACACCAGGTAAGTGCAGGTGAGCATGGCTTTCTTCCGGATAGGTGTTTTTAGGCAGTCCGGGGGCTCTGCCTTGATGAACTCCTGGGTGAGGCAAACACATGACTCAACTCTTAGAGGAACCACAAGCTTTTCTCCCTGGCCAGCTTCTGTCCCTCAATCCAAGTGGACTGACAGGTCCCCAAGGAGCAGAGCCCAGTCTGTCCCCACCTGGCCCCCCTGCACATTCCCAGGCTGTGTCCATGTGCTCACCCCTCGGTCCTCCCCAGGCCTCACTTCCACTGTTGGCCTCAGTTTCCCAGGAACCTGTCTGAGAACTCACCAGGCTGCATAGCACTCACCATCATCTGTGCCACCAGGTCCGCTTTCCTGGAGAAGTGGAAGGAACTGGCATGGGCGCCACTGCAGATGGCCTGGCTGACCATGCACGTGCTCTGGATGAGGCATAGCTTCAGGGCTGGGTCCTGCAGGAACACTGGGATGCAGGAGGTGCCCACACCCATTCCCCAGGGCTGAGCCCACACATACCCGCTTTTCTTCCCTCTCCAGCCAGTCTATTGGTCAAAGTCCATGTGGAACAAGAAGAAAGGCACCCAGGGGTCCCCTGTCATGGTCCTGGGCAGATGGGCCACAGAGTAGATGCCCATGAGAGCATGGTTGGGGGTCTCCCAAGACAGGAAGGGAAGAGCCCTCAGCTGAGTGCTAATGGGCTGGGAAAAAGTAAACTCTCAGAACAGTCCCATCCTCCCAGCCAACCCCAGGAGACCCTTCTGCTTTCCAAGAGGGGCCAGCTGTTCCCAGTGAGGGTCTTGTCAGGCTATGTAAGGTTAGTGCCAGAGATGCCAGAAGGAAAACATGTTAGTGAGGCTGTAGTGGGGTTTCAGGGAGGTCAGTGGAGCCTCCACTAGCATTTCTGGGATTCAGCCTCTCTCCTAGGTGCTCACCAGGATCCAGAAAGGTACTGTCCCCCCATGAGCATCAGGGAGCAGAGTCATAGGAGACCTGGGCTGTCCTTGGATGGAGGGCTACAGCCATGAGGCAGGTGGGGTTGGCGGCTCCCCCAGGAAACCCAGCTCCTCAGAGGTGGCAGAAGCCTCTCTTCTTTCCACCCAACATCTCAGGTCCAGGCCCCAAGACAGAGCAGAGCTCTGGAGTGATGTTCTAGAATGCACCCCCATGGGCAGGGACCAGGAAGCCCCAGCAAGCTTGCCCTATGGCTTCTGCCCCTGAAGCTCAACCTAGACCAAAGAAGAGCCAAGAGAAGAAAAGCAGAGGTCACGCTTAATTCCTACACACTGTACCTTGGTCTCTACCTTTATTCCCAGAACCTGAACAACAAAAAGTGAAATGAATTAAGATGTGAGACTCTGGTGCCAGCATGCCCCATGTCTATCCTGGCCCTCCCTGGATGACAGGCCTTCCATGGCACCCACCTTGGTGTTGAAGTACTGGAACATGTTCCGGAGGATATCCGACTCGACCTTGGCCAGCACCAGCTCGCGGGGGGCCCGTGCCGCCACATGTCCATAGCACAGGATCAGTGCACTCTTCACTTTCTCCACCTCGTTCTCACTTCGATCCTGAGAGGCCAGAAGGATCAGCAAGACTTGAATTATACAATTACAATCCCCTGACAGGAAGCCTGTACTCAAATTCCTGAAGTCCACATGGAAGAAGGGCCAGAGCTGGTCAGCAACACCTGAAGTATGGCCCAGCTAGTACATAGTATCCTGAATCTTGGAGAGGGGAGAGCCCCTTCCTCAGGGCCTGCAGGACAGGCAGCTAGCCAGGCATGGGCCCATTGGGACCAAGTGGTAGAGGGAAAGGAGCCAAGGTAGTGAGGCCAAATGGAACAGGTAAGCAGGAGGCAGAGACAAGGGAACCCAGCCACTGAAGAGCTCAAGGCCCCAACCTTGCTTGAGCTATGGATCAGGCCCTCTGTCCTTGGGCCTGTTCCACCTATGCACCCAGAAGGGGCTGGGTGGCCTCACACGCCCAGTCCAGCCCTGAGATTCTGTAACTGGGACAGTCAGAGGAGACAATGGCTAGGGTGGGAACCAAAGGTAGGGGTTCACCTCTTTCTTAAACCAGGCCCTGACTCTGCCAGCACAACCAGTGGCTTCAACAAGAATGCAGGCTCCACTGCTCACCAGGAGACAGAGGTCTTCACAGACTACCTGGCCACCCAAGAGGGAGGCAGCTTTCAGGCATCCACCTACCATCAAAGGCCCTCTCATCACCCACGACTGGCAGAGAGATGCACACTCCTTATCACCAGCTGCATTTGCTTCTAGGAGGTGGTTCTACCCCCTCTGCTCCGCTCTGCCTAGTGGGAACCCACACATGCAGGCCCCACCCACGGAGGGAATGTGGGAAGCAAAAGTTCCACGGACTAAACCCACATCCTGCCCACCCCAAGACCATAGGGCACCACCTCCAGCCTCAAACTTAAGAAAAGACAGAGTTGCCCCCAGAGGGGCAGGACCTCCCATCCCCCAGGATCTTAAAAAATAAAATCACAGAGATTCTATAATAGATCTAGCTCTATTGTTAGCCTAACCTGTGTACCTTAAAAATGTTGAAAATGCCCATGGATTTTCTAAACACATCCGACCTCACAAAATCTTCCAACTGGGCCAGGATGTCCTCGAGGTGGGAGATGGCACAGATTCCAAAGCAGCAGGCAAGGCCCTAGGGAGGTAGATGTACTCATACTTGGGCAAGGAGGACCCTGCCTCCGTCCTTTCTCACATACGGGGAAAAGCACACCATGCACACACTCACATACATGTTTACACATTATGCACATGCCACATATTTGCATATATGCACACCACATAAGTATGTGCACACATGCTGGTAGGCTGCCTGTGAGAGCAAAGAGTAACCACTGTCCCCCAGCCCTCAGGAATCCAGGTGCTTCCTGTAGGGAGAATGACAGCCACCTCACGTTCTGCTTCCTCCTGGTATCTGGCTGTTTCCAGCAGCTCTTGAAGATGTTTCCTCACCACTTCCTTACTTGAAGCAGCACCTAGGGTGGTTCCTATGCATTTGTACAGGAAGTTCTGAAACAAAATCAGAGAACACAGTTATGTCTGACTCCTAGAGGTAGAGGGACACCCAGCACTGCCATGTGGCTGCTTGCGGAGTGCACATCCCACCCACAGTCTGGCCTCTGTAAGGGCAGACCAGGTAGTTCTGGGCAGCATCTGAGGAGCAAGAGGCAGGAAGGGTGGGCTCCCATACCTCCCAGCCCTCAGCCTCCATGGCGAGACTCTGCCAGGCCACCAGAGTCATGGGAGACAGACCCAGACAATAAGTGACACAAACTCAAGGCCCAGGAAATCAGAGCCCATGGACTATGCTGAGCAATCCCTCAAGCAAAGCACCCTCACCTTCTCCTGAGGCATCCCGTTGTAACAGGGTAGCTGCTTGCACATCTCCAGGCTCAGCTGGCAAATCCACGTGTTGTCAGAGACAATAGCCAGAGTATCTCGCAGGAACTGTGGACGAGGATGCCAGTGAGAGGCCAGAAGCCTAGTCCCATGGGCTGAGGCCCAGGCGTGTCACCACATGATGACCTTGGGGTGGCCCTTTGCCATGGTTCCAAGGTCTGCAGGTGAAGTTCCAGCCCAGGCAGTGGGCAACAGAGCAAGCCCTGAGCTGTCAGCTACGAAGCAGGCCGCTCCAGCAGGCACGGGTGGAAGAGAAGGCTCCTGTGGCCAAGGTGGTTCAAAGCCCCTATAATTTGGCCTTGGCTGCTAGAGGGCTGGTGCCTCATCACAGAACTCTGTGAAGCTGGCTGGTGATGCTCACTCCAGACTCCTGCCTATTCCTTTGTTCCTCCTCCAGCCACATCAAGAGGTAGAGTTAGGCAGCACAAACCTAGAGAGGCACAGCCCAGCATCCACCACCCCCAGTCTTCCTACCCCCAGGCCAGAAAATGTCTCCAGGCCCAGGATAACCATGTCCTCAGTCACTTCTGGTCTCTCACCATCAACAGCTTTTCTTCCCACTCCTTCTGTGGCAGGGTTTCCTCAGTGTACTCTGAAATGACAGTCACACAGTGAGTCTGGGCCCTGCCAGGCAGGCAGATCCCATCATGCACAAGTGGGCCCAGCACCTCCCACCAGCTCAGGCCCCATCCCAACTTCTGGAGCTTAGAGGAAGAGCTCAGCAGTAGTCAACCCAGCCATGGGTTGTGTATACTTCCCATCTGCTCTCAGGGAGCACTTTTCGAGCCCCAGGCTGTCCAGGCTCTTTCTTGGACCACAGTGGAGACTTTACTCCAATTTAAAAAACCCTGGTCTCCAGAGGCCAGCTCTGATGCCACCAGGCAAAAGTGGAGTCAGGGGTAGCTGGAGAGCCCCTCCCTCCCACCCTGAGCACTGCCCTCTTCATTGGGCTTTGTGCCCCACCTTAATCCACTGGGCCTCACCATCCAGGTACCCCAGCAGCAGGGGGATGGTTGTCTCCCACCGCTGACCCAGCAAAGGGTGAATGTTACAGTGCAAAACGTTCAGGAGACGCAGCGAGGCTGCCCCACGTCCGTCCCCCAGGTAGGGGTTAGAAGACACAACCTGAAGGAGGCAGAAGTAGGAGCAGCAGTCTGAGCGGGGAGCTCTGGCTGAAGCCCACAACCTGCACCTCCAGGTGCAGATGTGGACACAGACCCACTCCAGGGCCACAGTGCTCAACATGGGGCCACAAGTTTCCTGCCTGGCTCTTCTCAAAGCTCTGATCATATGGATAGAAAAAAACCCTGCCACGAGCACCTGACTGGCAGTTCCCCACTGAGAAGGTAGCATTCTTTCTGTGTCTTTGTGACAAGAGGTTCCGGGCAGCAGCCCACCATACTGGCAGGACCCGGGGACACAGAGAAGAGCCCATTTCTCTCCAAACATCCTTTAAAGGGCACCAAGTTCTGACCACCCATCTAATTAGTCTGTCTCCCACTTAAGGGAGGTAATGCAGCCCAGCATGCTGCAAAGGTATGATGCTCACCAGAAGTCTTGTGGTTATGGCGTAGGGAGATGGGAGGTTCACTGGAGATAAGAGAAGTAGAAACAGTCACTCAGAGGCCAGCACAGCTCCCTGAGCCCAGCAGAGAGCCAGAACTGGGGCTGGGGTCGGAAGCTGGGGGTTGGGGGCAGAAGGCAGGGGAAGGGAGGTAGTGGCTGGCACGCACCATGGGTGTCGTATTGGATGAGGAAGGCATCAGCCCCGGCCTCCTGCCTCTTCTGCGCCAGATGCACAAGGCTCCTGCAGAGCGGAGTCAGGGCCCGGGTGAAGCGCATGGGGATGAGGAACTCGAGCAGGTATGGCCAGAGGACCTGGGGAGTGAAAGGCCTGGTCTGTGGCTGCTGGGACTGAGGTTTCATGCAGGCAGGGGGACTAAAGTTCCATGCAGGCAGGGACCCTGGCACTCCCTGGCTCTACACAATAGCCTTTGAGGAGCCACTGCCTCAGGCACTGCCAGAGCTCAGAGGGTTGGGACAGACCCTTTGCTTGTCCTGCTGCAACCAAGGTGGTCTCTGAGCACTTCTGGTCGCTGGCCTAGACATGCCAAGCTGCCCACCACATAGTTCGATTATCATCCAAGACAAGGGGCTGGGAGGTGAGTAGTTAGTCACAGGGTGGGGTGGGAGAGCTGGGGCAGGGGCCTTGAGCTGAGGTCACCTGCTTAGGCTGCACTGGAGGAGGTCAGAGCACCCCACACTCACGTTACTCATCCTGTCCACGGTGGTGCTGACCAGATAGAGGGTACGGATGCAGACGGCCTGCACACTGTCAGTTGCGAGGTCCTCACTGTCAGGGCCAGGCTTCTCAGGCTGGGGGCAGGGGTCAAAAGGCAAGGGCATGCATGGACAATCCACACAGCAAGGTCAGGCAGTCATGACTCTGGGAGTGTCAGGACACAGCCTGTGTGAAGCAGGGCACCCTCACTGTATGACACAAACGTCGCCTAACACAGACAGTTAACACATACTGCAATAAAATCACCCAAGAGAACAGGCTTACCTGGCCTAGTTCTTATCTCCAAAACAAACAAAAACTTGAGTATTTCCTATAAGCTACTGACTCCATAAAAAATAACTTTGTCCCTCACTTTGCAATGCTGACATGGGAGAAGTGGGACAATCTTTGTGAATATGACAATCATGTGAGAAAACCTATTTTCTATGAAGACTCAACGCAACCACAGTAGCCAGAGCAGGCTGGATGCCTGCTGTTCTCATTGCAAAACCAAATAAAAACTGCAAACTCTCTAATAATGAACACTGAGGACACATTCAAAATCCATCAGAAACACAAATGTTAGGATACACAAACCAAGGACATATGCTTATCCTAAAAAAAAAAAAAAAATACCATGAAAGAGAAAATACAAACAATATGAACCAAGAACAAGGAAAAAAACCCCAGAAACATTATGTGAAAAACTGTTAACAGTTGAAATTAAAAATTCAATTCAGGAAATTAATGTAATGGATAAAATGAGGAAGAAGTTACTAACTTGAAAGAAAAGACTGAAGAAGACTTCAAGGAAGAAAAATGTACAAAGAATGAAAGAAGGAAAAGCTAAAAGACATGAAAGACAGCAGTGTTAACATTCAGATAACAGACATACCAGAATCAGAGACAAATAAAAATAGAGAGCAAGAAATATGTAAAGAAATAAAGGAGGGAACTACCCTAGGGGAAAGATAAAAAAGCTCATAAAAAGGGTCCAGAGAGCTGGAGGCAAGGGCAGTTCAAGGTGAGTCAGGAACACCTTTGTATGCCACAAAATGAAGAAGGATGAGTGCATGCCACAGGGACACAGGAACCAGCTTGAAGGGGGACACCACTAGTCAAACCTGGAACAGTTTGAGCATCAAAACCAGTGGCAGGAATGGTACAGAGACCATCACATAAAATAGCAACCCGTGAGCCCACAATGAGATATTTAAATATAAGAATAGGAAATGTTCTTTGTTCACAATAGGAGGTCAAGAAAGAAGTATAAAAATATTAATGAAGTTAGAAAACCATCAATTGATGCTAAAACCAACTGATACTGATTAAAAGTTCTTTTTTATTGTTGTTGTTTTTGGTTTTTTGAGTCAGGTTCTCACTCTACTGTCTAGGCTGGAGTGCAGTGGCACAATCACAGCTCACCGCAGCCTTGATCTCCTGGGCTCAGGCAATCCTTCCACCTCAGCCTCCCAAATAGTTGGAACTACAGGCACACACAACAATGCCTAGTTAATTTTGATTATTTGTAGATACGAGGCTTTACTATGTTGTTTAGGCTGGTCTCAAACCCCTTGGCTCAAGCAATCTTCTTACCTCAGCCTCCCAAAGTGCTGTGATTACAGGTGTGAGCCACCATAACCACCCTGATTAAAAGTTTAATCAGTAAGATAATAGGTGACATTTACTTAGTCCCACCACACCCAGCCTGATCACTAGGCCAAAACTAATCCCTCAACAAACTCTTTTTTATTTTTATTTTTTAGTTGGAGTCTCATTCTCACCCAGCCTTGGCCTCCACAGCCTTGACCTGCTGGGCTTAGGTGATCCTTCCGCCTCAGTCTTCCAAGTAGCTGGAACCACAGGCGCGCACTACCACACCCAGCTTATTTTGTGATTTATTGTAGAGACAAGGTCTCACTAAGTTGCTCAGGCTGGTCTCAAATCCCTGGGCTCAGGCAATTCTCTCACCTTGGTCTCCCAAAGAGCTGGGATTACAGGCTGAGCCACTGCTCTCAGCCCCAACAAACTCTTAAAAGCAGAAACCAATCTGGCCAGACTCAATGTAACAATACAATAAAACTACAAATCCAAAATAGCCATGAAAATCTATCAACATGGAGATTTTTAAAAAATCATAAAAAAACCATTTGTTAATTACAAGGGAGAAACAGCAACTTTACAATGCAAAAACTAAGCATGAACATGTGGTCAGAACTAGTAAAGTCAGTATTGAAACAAACCAATACCAAGAGCCTCCTGGTAGGATATACTGATGAGTGTACACATGCTTCCATGAGATTCCCACCAAAACTATATCACTGGATCAAATCATAAGGAAATACCAGCCCTACCTGAGAGACAGTCAATAAAATAACTGGTCTGAAATCTTAAAAGAAATCCAAGTGAACAAACATGAAGACAGGACACAAGTACACACAATGCATGACTCTGGGTCAGATTCTGCACCAGAAAGCAGCTCTAAGAAACAGAACTGAGACAATTGATAAAATGCAAGCACAGAGTATTAATTAGGTAATACTATGGCTTCAATGTTAAATTTTCAGATTTTGACAAGTGTACTATGGTTATGCAGAACAATGCCCTTATTCTTAGGAGACAAACACCAAAGTATTTAGTATTTAGGAATAAAGAGACATAATATCTCAAATTTTCTCTCAAAGGAGTTAGAAAAAAATGTGCATTCATGCACATGTGTGTATGTGTGTGTATACAAAATATATAAAGAATGTCAGACAAGATGGGTACAGTAGTTCACGTCTATAATCCCAACTACTCAGGAGGCTGAGTGGGAGGATCACTTAAAGTCAGGTATTTAAGACCAGCCTGGACAACACAGAGAACCCATCATATCTAGTAAAATGAAAAAAAAAAATTAGCCAGGCATAGTGGTGCATACCTGTAGTCCCCACTACTCAAGAGACTGAGGCAGAAGGATTGCTTGAGCCCAGAAGTTTGAGGCTCAGTGAGCTATAACTGAACCAATGCACTCTAGCCTGGGTAATGGAGTGAAACCTCATTGCCAAAAAGAATACTAGACAAAGACATAATGAGAAAACTACAGACTAACATCTCTCACAAATATAGAAATGAAAATTGTCAACAAGATACTAGCAAACTGAATCCAACAATATATAAAGATGATTATATACCATGACCTTGTAGGATTTATCCCTGGAATGCAAGGTTGGTTTAACATCTGAAAATCATCTAATAACATATGCCATATCAACAAAATCATATGCTCATCTTAACAGACATAGAAAAAAGTATATGAAGGTTGGGTGTGGTGGTTCATACCTATAATCCCAGCACTTTGGGAGGCCAAGGTGAGAGGACTGCCTGAGCTCACAGGTTCAAGACCAGCCTGGGCAACTTGGCAAGATCTCATCTCTACAATAAATTAACAATTAGCCAGGAATGGTGGTGCATGCTTGTAGTTCCAGCTACTTGGAAGGCTGAGGCACAAGGATCACCTGAGCCCAGCAGGTCGAGGCTGTGGTGGCCGTGAGTGTGCCACTGCACTCCAGCCTGGGTGACAGAGTGAGACTCCAACTCAAAAAAAAGAAGAAAGCATATGACAAAATTTATCTTCATGACAAAACATTCTACAACGTAGGAATAGAAAAAATATCCTGGCCTGGTGCGGTGGCTCACACCTGTAATTCCAGCACTTTGTGAGGCCAAGGTAGGAGGATCACTTGAGGTCAGGAGTTCAAGACCAGCCTAGGCAACACAGCAAGACCTCATCTCTACAAAAAATAAAGAAATTAACTGAGTGTGGTGGCACACCTGTAGTCCCAGCTACTTGGGAAGCTAAGATGAAGGGATGCGTGAGGCTGGGAGGTCAAGGCTACAGTGAGTAGTGATTGAACCACTGTACTCCAGCCTGGGCAACAGAGTGAGACCCAGACTCAAAACAAAACAAAAACATGTAAAACATAAGGTTTTATTTTTAAAAAGAAGGGAATATCCTCAACCTGATAAAGGGCCCACAGTGAACATCAAACTTAATGGTAAAAGACTGAATGCTTTCATACAAAGAAAAGGAAAATTAACAAGAATGTCTGCTCTCAACATTGTACTGGAGGTTCTAGCCAGAACAATTAGGCAAGAAAATCAAATAAAAGACACCTGGATCGGAAAAGAAGTAAAAGTAAAACTATCTCAGTGGGGCACAATGACTCTTCTGTAATCCCAGCACTTTGGGAGCCTGAAGGGGGAGGATCGCTTGAGGCCAGGAATTTGAGACAGCTTGGGCAATATAGGGAGATCCCCTTGCTATAAAAAACAAAAAAAGTTAGCTGGGCATGGTGGCACACACCTGTAATTCTAGCTACTTGGAAAGCTGAGGTGGCAGGATCATTTGAGACCTGGAGTGTGAGGCTATAGTGAGCTATGATGACACCACTGTTTTCCAGCCTGGGTGACAGAGTGAATGAGACTCTGTCTCTAAAAATGACAAAAACAACAACGAAAAACTATCTCTATTTGTAGATAACATGATCCCTTTAGAATATCCTAAGGAATTCACTAAAAAAAATGACTAATAAGCAAGTTCTGCAAAGTTACAGTAAACAAAATCAATATGAAAGAACAACTGTATTTCTATACAGTAGAATGAACTGAAAATTAAATTAGAAAAATATTTTTATTTATGGTATCATCAAAAGGCATAAAATACTCATGAATAAATTTAACCAGGGAAGTGCAAAACTTATAATCTGAAACTACAAAATAATGTTAAAAGGAATTAAAGACCCAAAATAAATAGAAATATACCCCATGTTCATAGATACTAAGACTTAACATTGTTGGAAATACTCCCCAAATAGATATACAGATTCAATGAAATCCCTATCAAAATTTCAGCTGACTGCTGAAAATGACAAGTTGATCCTAAAATAAATTCATATGGAAATTCAGGGGACCCAGAAGAGCCAAAACAACCTTGAAAAAGAACAAAGTTGGAGTACTCATACTTCCCAATTTCAAATTTGCTATAAAGCTACAGTGATCAAGACAAGGTGGTACTGGCATATAAAAGAAAGGACAGAATCCTTAAGATGATGTG